CAGCTTCTAGCGTTCTGATAACATTTGCATGCCTACGACTTTCCTTTCGTAATTGTGCTATTTCTCTATTGCGCCTCAGTTCGTTTTCTTTGTGTCGTTGAGCTTCTTCTCGCATTTTATTTAAAAGTTTCACCTTTGCTCTCTTCATTTCCGAAAGTTCATTTCTCAAACCTCTCAACCTATTTTCATTCTGAGATTGGTTTTTCAATAATCTTGCATGTTCTTTTTTAGCAGATTGTAAAAGTCGCATCTCTTTTTGCATATTAGCGAGCTTCTTCTCGTATTCGTCGCGTAATTTTTTCACTTTTTCGGTAGGCGGTGTAGGTTGTTGCTGCAAGGACAGCAATACTTTATCCCTTTCTTCTTGAGTATCTCTAATACGAGCTTGTAACTGAGACAATTTATCCTCGTAATGCTGCTTCATAGTTTGCAAACGTCTTTGAGAGAGCTCAAGCTCTTGTATCAGACGTTGTTTAACGTCAATGTCGGACGTTAGCGCTTCCAATTCACGACCCATAGCTGCTTCTTCCTCGTCTTCTTCTGAAAAATGACATAATTATTATATATAATATAATGGAAACACGTGAGAGCGTTAGATATAACTATAAAAAATGCTGAAAAAATACGTATACATAAAATATACGTATTTAAACGTACCTTTACGATCGGAATCATCGTCGGAATCATCTTCGCTTACCGAATCCTGCGCATTCTCCGCATCGTCTATTTCTCCTTCGTCCACTGACTTGATAGTATTACCACTGTGACTATATTGTTCTTTCAAGGTTCTTAACGTTTCTATTTCTTTTTCGACATCTCTCTTAGCATCGATCAATACGGACGCGGAATCGGAATGAAACGAACTATCCCCATATGGATTCGCTGCGTTAACCTAATGAATATTTTATCAATATCGATCAGTTTTATTACATCTTTAAACATAGCAATTTATCATACCTGCATTTGCCTTTTCTTTAGTTGCTGATACATAGCTTCCGCTTCCAATAGACGAGCTCGTAATTCCTCTATTTCTTGAACGTAACCCTGTATCAAACTAGTCACTTGATCATCACCTTTGCCCGATATCGCTACCCAGTGACCCGCTGCTTTTTCTGCCAACAAGAGAGCGTTCTTGGCTGTTAATGCCTCAACCGTTTCCGAAAGTGCTTTTACTCTGGTGCGAAGACTTTGTAATTCGCTACTCAACATTTGATTTTCATGCCAGGCATCGTTAACACCGTCTTCACCGACGATTCTCTTGCCTAAGGAAAAGACAGATGTGTAATGTTACGTGTAATATGAAAGTATTATTACGATATTTACGTTTCAAATTATATACCTTGTCTATATTCCATCAATTCCAATTGAAGCTGTTGAATTTCTCGCCGTAGAGAAGCGATCGTTCTCGAGCTCTTATCCTGGTTAATAGTAACTTTATTCTTTATATTCCTTGCTCGATTTGCATATTTTAACGTACTTAGAGTTTCCATGAAATCCCTGTCGCTCGGTGATACGCATGCTATCATAACGGTTTGACTATTTCCTGCAATGTAAATCATAATTGTAATGTAAATCATAAAGTAGGCTTAATTAAAACATTTTATATGCTTATGTACCGCAACTATATTGTATTACCTCCGAGGGAATCTTGAAGTAATCTAGTTAACTTTGAGTCTCTGTATGGTATGTGTGAGGCTTTCTTCGTTTTATCACCGAGAGCGGAAATGACATTACCCAAGGCCAACTATAGAAAAAAACATAACGTACGTAATTAAACTCTTTTTATCTTTTTTTTTGTCGAAAGTATATATAACTCTTACCAATCCACAATTGATAGAAATGCCCTCCTTTGCTCTATCACCGGTAGCGCCCGTTCTCTTTAATCTCTCGGAACCGGCCAAATCGACAAAGTGAAATTTGGCGGTTAACGTTTCAAATTCATTCGTTAACTCGACACCGCTCGTATCGACATCCGCGTCGGGATCCTCGACTTTGATGCATCTTTGCTGTTTGATGTATAATGTAAATATTGCATGTGATCTAGAGGATTGTGTATTCATTTGCGTCGATCCAGTTGTGCGCGATAACGCACCCAATCGAAGGTACTCCAGTGCTTGTTCGGGGCTAGTTACGACGCGTGGTTCTACACCAGCTAAATGTATGTTACCCATTGTATCCTCATGAATACGTGCACCACCTCTCGGTCCTCCTGGCTCTAATAAATCTTTCAAATCTTCGTTGTATAATTCTAAGAATTGTGCTGTAACCTACAGCATATAACGAGATAGATCGTCATTGAAACAATGAAACCAATAGAGTCCGACCGAAACTTTTGCCGAAACTGAACCGAAACACTCGACTACATGTCGATTTCAATCGAAACCGAAATTAAAAAATAAGAATTCTATAAAGACCATATGTATAGACATCCCCACATATCATATATTTTTTCTTCATAATATCATGATTTATTGAAACAATAATTAATCGAAAATTGAAATTTCGGTTGTGTGTCAATTTTGACCAAAGAATATAAGTACTTCTTCTTCATAAACATCATAATTTAATTATTGAAAAAAACAACGATTACACACATCATAAATTAATTATTGAAAAAAACAACGATTAAAATTAATATTTATGAAGAAGAGCTATATGGTTTCGAAACTGACACGTAACGAGTGTTCATTTTTAGTTTCGGTAAAAATTTCAATTGAACTCTAAAAATCAAAAATAAAAACGAAGCACAAGTTGAATCCCAGATAATTCAACGGACCTTAAATTCCGGAGGCATTTGCGCGCGTTCCCTCGCGCGTTTCTGCTTATCCACTATTCCATCGAAAAGGTGTTTAATAGCTCTAGGGATGATCCCGACGATAGTTTCATCGACTTCTACGTCGAAACCAGTGCCCATGGTGTAAGTTTTACCCGAGCCGGTTTGCCCGTAGGCGAGGACCGTCGCGTTGTAGCCGTCCAACGCGCCTTCTACCAGACGGTTCACGCATGTTTCGTAAATCGCGTTTTGATTCACCTGAGTATCAAAAACGTAATCGTACGTAAAGGCCTTGTCGGGTCCGAGAAAAACTTGCGGCTCCCCTTGAGGTACTTGAGTACAAATCCTGCACATGTCGATTACTTCGCGAGCTACCTGAGGCCTTATTCTGCAACAGACAACCAATTTATCTAAAACGGTTAAAAATAACGAAGAACAACAAACATTTTGCGGTAATCGCGCGGTATCATTGGTGATGAAGGTCACTTGTATCTCCAACTTTGAAGTTGAAGGTGCTCATTTCTTAGGCGATCGGTAATTAAGCCCACGCGCTTGTGTCATAAAAGGAGATACTCGAGAATCGGTATTTGCAATCATCCGTGGAATTCGCTCGAGTCCAAGTTTCTTCATGCATCATTACGTATTTACGCGAAAAAGATTTGCAGGTATCTCGCGCTTCGCTCTTTGTTCTTCGTAATAAAGGAAAAAATCCGATACTGAGCAATCGCGTTATTCATACGTGTTACGACTCGCTAAAGATATTTTATTCCTCGGGCGGTATTCTTCGTCAGCCTGCTTCACGTAAGAAGCGTTCAGCTAGGCATCCAGAGGTGTCAGAGGCATACGAGAAATATTTATCTGAATAAGAACAGGCGAATTTTTCAATTATCTCGTCGTTCACAATTAATAGAGAAATATGCGTGTTTGAATAAGCGGAGTCGTCTCTAATCGAGTCTCTTGATCGACACCGGCGTGTCACCGGCACGTCGCCGGCATGCAACGAATATCGCTGACAAAAGTCTGAAAGTGGTTTTCGATTTTATTATATTATACAAATGTATTATTTACTTACCGCACGGCAACGCGTACACTCGAATCGTCCGCCATCTCGCTACGTTTTAGTTATTAGTCGATGCTATGCTCAACTATGTGAGGATCATAAGACAACTTTGGCTATATTAGGCTACCTATTATATTAATATTAAATTAGGCCAAAATAAACCAAATGCGAATGGCTGCAGGCAGTTGCGATTCTCCGTTATGCGACAATGTCAAGAACGTTGCGTGCTCGCGCACGCGTTATCAGGCACAATAATTGGAAAAACTCGACCATCTCCGACGACTCCGACGGGCGATGCACGAGAGACTGTACATTTCTCTCGTGACGTTTGCGAGTAAAAGCGTTTCACTTGATAACTCGATTCACTGTACACGACGGCGACGGCGGCCGTCACTAAACCAATCACCAAGCATGACCAAACAATCGTGACAATAGCGTGGGAGCTTGAGCTGCCTCTCGACTGTCTGTCAGTACCGTCAGTACCATCGTTGTGTTTCTACTGCTTTCTACGCGGAGCACTCGTTTGAACATATATATATACGAACGTATTGTATATACAGTAAAATTCATTGAGAAAGGCCATGTCGTATACTACTGCTTGCTGAAGCGAAGCAATCGTGAGCAATCGTTAAAAACGATATACAGTATAGTCGGAGAGAAGCCTGAGACTCCTGAGAGAGGCCATCTGCCCCATCTGGGGCCATCGCCATCCCGGGCGTTTTTCGCGTAACGCTCGAAAGACACAGTACACTAGCGACACCAATATCAATTTTATAAATTGATGTAACTACGTATCACATTTTCGACATTGTTGAAAAAGTAGTATTTATTGATAATCCAGTCGATAAACTATCAGTATTTATTAATTATCGGTAAGGACGCGATAAATTTTTAGAAAAATATTCGATAAATTTTTAGAAAATTACTAAATTCACGAGACAAATGAGTAATAAATGGCACGGTAATTAGTCGCTATAAATTAATGATATACAATATATTTGCAGCTTAATTACATTCATTACATTACTTACGATTTTTTTTTATATGTATATTATTATTATATATAATTTTAATTAATAATAAATTATCATAAATTACATTGTAAATTACAGACGTAATGTACAGTACAATGATGCGATTGTAAATCAATTTAATCACATATGTGTATCGCATAAACATGGTAAAATAAATTAAAAACATTTTATTTTAATTATACAAACAGATGTATGAAGTTAAAAGATATTAGATCTAATTCCCGTCTCAATTTCTCTTCTTGCTGGATATTGTCGAACCATCTCGATACGTGAATATATTGTGCCTTTTGCTGAAGGCTTAATTCTTTCTGTAAAAAGATAGTAAATATGATAAGTATATTGATGCATATATCATCACTACAGCTTATTACAATGCGTTGTTACCATGATGGAATGTAAAACGTAATACAACGCAATATCTGCAATAGTCTTCTTTGTACCAGTTATATATGGTATATCTTTTATTATCGTATTGAGTTCCTATAATTAAAAATCAGATTAATATTATATTTTCTATAAGAAACACATGCTTTATATATATATATAATATACATGTATGTGACACTTGCATTTAATATTCTGTTGGCATTGACAGGAACATCCGCATAATTGATACAGATTACAATATATTCTAGCCATTGCTGTATCAATGCTTGTGTTTCTTTCTCATTACCAAGTATATCAGAACATTTTGAACTCCTTACAAGCTCTTGCACAATAGTGCTAAAGCCTTGAATGGATGGTAAATTCTTTTCTGCATACTCTGGAATAAATACTACCTGAAACAATCATGTATGATATATACAGGGTGTCCGTCCATAAATGTTGGAGCAAATATCTCGCAACTGGTTGAAGTTACAAGAAAGTCAGTAAGAGAAATTTGTACGACTCCGAGTCAGCTACAAAGTGCACGTAAACATTTTTTTTATACTGTGGCTTTTTCGAGTTATGTGGGTTAACATAGTTTTTTTAAATGGATACCTATAATTTTTTTTGTATATTTGTATATTAGGGAGCATTTGCAATCAAAATTATATGTAGTAAAAAATTGCTACCATGCATCGTTTACGAGATAATCGACATCTTAAGTATCAAAGTAGTAAATTGGATTCTAAGTAATTTCGAACGTGGTTTGAAATGTCAAAGAGAGGTTGAAGATGAAAACAAATGTTTTTTTATAGAACATTTATTAACCCATAAATTGCTCGAAATTTTGACCATCATGTTCAATACAACATTCAACGCGTTTTATAATGTTTCTCATTACTAACTGCAGCATTTCTACTGTAATCCCTTCAACAGCTGTAGTAATTTTATGTCGTAAATCTGCATTTTCAGGAACAGTTGTGTAGACAATGTCTTTAATATATCCCCAAAGGAAAAAATCGCAAGGTGTCAAATCCGCAGATCTCGGTAGCCATCGTGTAGGGCCATTAGTACCTATCCAACAATTAGAGAACCTATCGTTTAAAAAGTTGGCTATAACACGTGTATTATGTGGTGGAACCCCATCTTGTTGAAAAATAATGTCTCGAAAAATTGATAATGGAAGATTGCAAATAATCTGAAAAAGTTGTTTACAAAAATTCCACATATCTGTCACCATTAAGATGACCATGGAAAAAAAAGGTCCAATAATTTTCGTTCCGATAATGACGAGTTGAAGGTCAGTCATTCTGTTCGACATAACCGACCTCAGAATATTAGTTTGATTTCGAGCAATTTATGGATTAATAAATGTTCTATAAAAAAACATTGTTTGTTTTCATCTTCAACCTCTCTTTGACATTTCAAACCACGTTCAAAATTACTTAGGATCCAATTTACTACTTTGATACTTAAGATGTCGATTATCTCGTAAACGATGCATGATAGCAATTTTTTATACATATAATTTTGATTGCAAATGCTCCCTACTAAACAAAAAAAATTATAGGTATCCATTTAAAAAAACTATGTTAACCCACATAACTCGAAAAAGCTACGAGTATAAAAAAAATGTTTACGTGCACTTTGTAGCTAACTCGGAGTCGTACAAATTTCTCTTATTGAACTTTCTTGTAGCTTCAACCAGTTGCGAGATATTTGCTTCGATATTTATGGACGGACACCCTGTATATATATATATAT